CTGAAACCATTAAATTAAATATTTCTGAAATTTTTATATTCGGGCGTTATGTCGCACTATGCGGCGTATTGAGTCGATATTTCAAAAAAGTTTAATCTAGCGAATTAATTCGCTAGATTAAACTTAACTGAAAATAAATATCACCACTCAACTCAGCATGGTCGATTACCTATATTTCGAGGTTTTTCCGAGTGATCCAAGGTGGCCGAAATCGCGGCTCTCAGGAAACTATTTATATTTCCTGAACAGCACAAGCTAAAGAGCTGGGCCTTGTGTACATCAATAGAGAACAATTTTCTCTATCGAATGGGTGTATTAGAATTTCAAATCCAATGGGGAATCTTTTCTCCAGGCAGTGTCCAATATGTCAAGCGAAAACTCACCTGATTGTCAATTGTTGACCAACCAGCTTTCGATATTTCTTAATAAAGAATATTATTCTCTTTCAAATGTTGAAAACTGCAGGTCTCTAGCTGCTTCCTATCCGGAGTTATTCAACTTACAACCGACTCCATTGTCCATTGAAATGGACAGTAGTAACTTTTTTTTCAGCTGTAGGGAAGATATCAGCTTATTGAAAGTGACACTTGTCGTCTCTCTATATCGATAACGGTAGTCACAAGGCCAGGTATTCTTCCTTCGTTTTTTCAATCTACAGTTACAAAGAATAATGCAACTTGATGGAATGAAATGTAAGCGCAGTTCACTTATTAATTTTTCCAATGATTAATTGATTATAGTTCAATAGTACTTTATGACGAAGTTTAATTTTTATGTTTGTAGGATGCCGTTTGTTACAATCCACCAAATTTGATTTGCACGTAAGTGCCTAATATTGTGTTTCTTTAATATTTTTGTGTTTAACCATTTGTCTATTTATGTTTTAGCACTGATGATTGTAGGCCATGCAGCACAGTCTGGATTAATGAAAACAAAACAGAAGTGAAATGTATGTTAAAAACAAGAAACGGGCACGTAAGCGTCATTTTAATCTAATCAAATTTTCTTTCGTTCTATAGGCACAAATGAAACAATCGTTATACCAACAAAACTAACGACCACTGACCCATGTCCAACTCGAACATATTGTATCATAAGTCCATGTCTGGTAATACTGCTTTAGAGTACTGTAAAAGTCAATTTAAATTTGATTTCATTTTTATATCATATATGTACTATACGTTTCAAAAAAGAATGCGCCTCACTATTTTTCGAATAACTTTTGACATCTAACGAACATTTTCCAAATAGGTTTTCGGCTATGCTGATTCACGTGGCAATGTTTGTTTTTACTTTGGAACAAACTTTCACTATAACACAGTGGTTAATTCAGCCACGCTGAAAAATTAGAAGATGATTTTGAAGAAGAGGAGATTTCGGAGGAAGACTAAATTTTTTTCTATTGTTTTATATTTTCTACAGGTACTTCATTGTTAATTTTCGTTATGTTATGAATAAATTCTCGGTTCGAACTGTAATCAGTGCTGTATCACGATCAGCAATCGTTTCAAAGTAAAAACAAACACTGCCACGTGAATCAGCATAGTCGAAAACCTATTTGGGAAGCGTTCGTTCGATATTATAAGCGAAAAAAACGTGCGTTACGATCGTCCTACGAGAATCGCTCCCTATCGGGAACGGGAGAACAGAGAAAAAAGAGCTTTCTGGGGTTTTGTAGAGGAAGGTTTGCTGGTTCGAATCGATAAAAGAACGGGAAAAAAATCTTTTTTTATTCTTTTCCAACCTTGTCTTTCAAAGATGTGAATGGCTTACCACCTGCAGGTAGTAGACCTAGCTCGATTTTTATTTCTCAAGATGTCTTGAGGTGTTCGCTCTCGAACAGCGAAAACCGTATCTCTTATCTACTTTCTGTCAAAAGT